TTTTATTGTCTCTGCCGTGTTTTTCTTGTCAGTATTAAACAAGGTGTTGCGAATACCAAAAACACCAGGCTGTCCTTCGTTAACCTCACGGTTTTTTATTTTCCTTATTCACTGTTTTTTGATCACGTACCGATTTTCTTTTTATCACTGACGTGCGACACACCCTAAATCCTAGACAACGACGATATATGGGCTGATTAATTGATTCTATTGTCTAGATTGAAATTGCAAGAAAAGAGATCACATAACGCTAATCACTTATCTAAACGTCACAATACAGCTGAATTATCTCGACACACTCCCCTATTTGCTTCTGTCAGGGGAGCAAATACAATTCAAGTAAAGTTATTAAATTTCTTCCGATTGAAACCTAGTAGACGGAAATCAGTGTTCAAATTATCAGTTAATGTTCCTCTTTCTAAACAGTCTAAATTGAGTATTCAAATAAACAATGTTTCTTAGTCGTCTTGGTCACGTTCAGCAATATTTTGGACTAGTAGTCTGGCTGCGGCTGCGGCATCCCGCTTTTGTCTGAAGGCACGCACTTCAGGATTCAGTGGAGGTTTCGGCACTACCCGAGGCTTGTCACAGGACAGCTCCAGTGGATATAACTGCTGTACTGCTCTCTCCAGATGGCTCTTGCCTGCTCGAAGCTTCACAGCTCTAACGACCCCGTCACGTCCCGCAATCAGCTCTTCCACTATCCCAAGCTTCCACTTATTTCTGTCTTTGTTGTCGTCTTTGATAACGCACACATCTCCCTTCTCAACCCCACAAGAGGAGTCTTTATGTTTTACGGCGTGACGTTCTCGCAGCCCACGAAGGTACTCTGTCTAAGCTGTAGGTTCTCTTCATAGTGTACCTCCCTCTCAGGTAGACTATTTGGTTGGCTGAAGAGCATAGAATTCGGTGTCAAGACCGGTAATTGTGCGTCGTCTTCAACATAGCTCAGTGGGCGACCATTCAAGGCTATTTCTACATCTAGAAAGACTTTTTTTAGCTCCTCAAAGCTGAGACAGGCGTTGCCGATGGTTTTCCTCACTGCTGTTTTGACCAGCCCTATCATGCGCTTGAACTGGCCTCCCCACCAGGGGGCTCGGCCTAGGTTAAACTTCCTTGTGATTTGGTGACGTGCAAGGAAATCATTTAGCTTCTCGTCGTTCTGCACTTGCTTAATTCAAGCTGCGGCTCCAATGAAAGTACTGCCGTTGTCTGAATATATCGCAGTTGGTCTGCCACGCCTTGCTATTAATCCTTTCAGGCTTAGAAGGAATTCACCGGTCTGCAAACTTCTCGCCAGGTCAAGGTACAGTGCCCTTGTCAGACTGCAGGCATACAGAATAAGGTAGGCTTTTCCTTCACGTCTTTCAGTGGCTTTAAACTTGATTGGGCCAGCATAGTCGACCCCCACAACTTGAAAGGGAGTGGATCCTTCGGTTCGATCTCGCGGTAGCAGTCCAGGAGGCGGTACAGCAAGGGCTGCGGCCTGGAATCGCTTGCATCCTGGGCATTTTTTCACGATACGCTTCACTTGTCGTCTTAGGCGCGGGACCCAGTGCCGTTCTCGTACTTTCGCCATTGTCAACTGCGTCCCTCCGTGTAGAGTAGATTCATGAGCTTCTTCCACGAACTTCTCTGTGTAGACTGTTGTATCTGGGAGATACACTGGGTATACGCCCTGTATCCTTCTCCGGCATTCAAGGAGTTGTTGGTCGTTTAGTGTAGGTTAAGCGGCGAGCGGTCGTTTTCATAAGCCTTCGATTTCACGCCTTCCTGCTGCGCTCTCTTCTCCCAGAATCTTCTTTGAATGCTTACTTCTTCGGTGGTTAGTGGCCCTGTTTTCCTTTCACGAGGTGGACGCCTTGTATTATGGACAAATCTCGCCACCCATCCACCGATGCGCAACACGCGCCAGAGACCATACTTGTTAAGAAGTGAATCAAATCCATCCACGTCTTGGTCGGTAGCGAGCTTGAATATCTCTCGTACCGTCTTTGTTTCAGCTAGTGTTTCAGCAGTGGCGGTTGTGGTTATGTCCACTGGCCAAGCACTTGGGTGTGAGAGCCATTTCGGACCATGCCACCAAAGGTCCCCGTCTTGTGGTACAGGCCCTCCCCGACTTCCAAGGTCTGCTGGATTCTCTTTGGTGGGCACATATCTCCACGTTATCCAATTCTTACCTCGAATTTTGCACACCCGGTTGTACACAAACTGCTTGTATTCCCCTTCTCCTCTTATCCAGTGGAGCACAACTGTACAGTCTGACCAACAGTAAACTTGGTCGACCGGATATCCTTCCAGGGCTTCTCTTACGTTAGTGGCCATATTAGTTGCCATGTGACAAGCGACCAACTCCAGGCGTGGTATGGTGAGGCCTTGTTTGGCCAATCGAGCTTTAGCTGCAACGATGCCTTGTGTGACACATGATGGTTGCGACACAACAGTGAACGCTGCTGCTGCCACGCCCACACCACTTGCATCTCTAAAGACATGTAAGGATATACTGTTGATTGGTCCCTGATACTGAACCAGGGCCCTCATGAATGTAATTCTCTCAGGTGATCTTGATTCCCATTTGGCCCACTTGGCGACTAGGTCAGAAGGCAATTGTTAATCCCAACCGATTCTAAGGTTGCAGGCGTCACGATATAGTAGCTTTCCACATAGTGTGAGGGGAGACGCCACTCCGAGTGAATCGTAAATCCTCGCTATTTTAGCCAATATTCCCCTCTTAGTGTTGTCGGCTTTCTCAGTTGGCACGGTAACGCTTAGGACGTCTTTCAGCTTATCCCACTTTAGGCCAAGCAGTGAGCTCTCTCCCCTGGACGAGGTTCTCAGTCGCTGTTTGGCAAACGTCTGGTCTGCACTCTGATCGATTTCAGTGGATTCCAACTCAGCAACGTTTGAATGCCATTTATGGAGTTCGAAAGCGGCGTCAGCAAAAATCTCTGTGGCTGCATTTTTCATCTCTCTTGCTTTGGGTACTGTCGTCCCTCCACTTATCAGGTCATCCACGTACATATTTTTCTTTATCTCGCGTACTATTTCAGGCTGCTTGGAGCTCCAGGTATTCAAATGCTGCTCAATGACCCCTCCTAACAAGAAGGGTGAGGGACCCGAACCGAACAGAGCTCTTGTAAAGCTCTTGTTCGGTGGTGCTGATCCTGGGGCATTCACTGTTTCCTAGGATGACGTGCACAGGTAGGCGGGGTCTCTCGTCGTTGTCATCCATTGTCACGCCCTATAGACGAGGGTGTTTCTCTACGAGCTTCTTGTAGCGAGGGTTGTCTATCATCATGAGGTGCAGTTTCTCTACTTTAGTGACTTCTGCTTCCATCTCAAAGTTTCCCCTCACTGAGTTAAGTTTGACCCGATAAACTTCCATCACCCGACTGCTCGCGCCCAGCATCATCTCAATCTTGCGCAACCCAGAATGATGAGGTTTTGCCCCAATTCTTTCAAGCAGTGCTGCAGAGGCGCACGAAGGTCCTGCGCCAGAATTTAGAATGGCACGACATTTTATTCCTGCAACTTCCACGACAACCACCGGGTATACCACAGGACCATCGCCAATTTGTGTAGCTGTCATCGAGCTGTCTGCGTTTCCTCTGTCACAGATTGAGGTGTGGTGTCTTCTTTTGCAAAACAAACACGTTTTTCTGCTCTTGCATCCATCGCCCTGTGATCATCTCCGGTACAGTTGTCACTCTCGGGGGTTAAAGGGTTAAATAGCAACTGTAAACGATAGGATGCATTCCATGTCATTTGTGAGATTTACTTTGTAAAGTACCGTACGTACTAGGTTTCAAAATTTGTCTGCTCTGCCAAAAATCTTGTTAAGTTTTGTCTCCGCTAAATTATAAATTTGGTAATTACATATGCACTTGAAAACATCAAAATATTTGATAACCACAGAGTCTACTTTGAAATCAAACACCTTCCTTTAGATTCCGTTCTCATGAAAGCCTACGGCATATACGTTTACATGCAACTATCAATTCTTGAGAGAAAATGTTGCCACGTCATGTAATTATATATTTTTGGTCCTTCATGCATCGTTGTCTACATAGCTCGATTGCTAGAAAGAGTGAGCTATTGTAGAATATTTCCCAAGTTCAGATCTGTGCGAATTGCCGCTGGTGAGTTATAAGCCAAAACGTCTGACATAAATTTCTAACGCTTAGCTTGGGAACGCCAAATTAGTGCCCATGCAAGGGGTATCAACAAGGCGGCCATGAAGTAATGCAAACATTTGCTGTCTTGTTCCGCTTCTAAAGTGATTAGTTATCGATTTTGAAATTGCTAACATTCATCTAAACACGTTTTCTAATCTTTCTTATGCTCAGGGAATAAAATGTCACACAATAGCTCATATTTTACAGATTTCCGATTTCGAGCGTGGAAAAACCGAAATTAGAAATAACCGTGTTTTCAAAATAGAGGATTCCTCGATGCTGAAACCTTTCTTAAGGTTTAGAGGGTCTTTCGGAGGTAAACTGTAATATCCCTTCTCATTTTGGATTTTTATAACGGAAGTTAAGTAAAAACCATAGGTTGTGTAAGATTTGTGCTTTGAAAACAGGTTTTAAGTTTGTGTTGAATGTTTCAGTCAATTCTATGACCATTGAGTTGTTCAGTAGACAAGCAGTTTCTTATCCGTCTTAACCCTAAATTTATCGAGTCCCGGTACTTATCGGTTCCACCTTAAAAGCTGTTTTTCATTGCTGTGTTTAAATCCAGGAAAAAAGCATCAGTAGTTTCGGAATTAGTACAATGAAAAATAGATGGCTGCGGGCTCGTCGCCCACCGGCACGTGCAAAAACATAAGTACAACATCAGGGGAATGCAGTTTGAGCAGTTTGATTTATTTCATATACTTGCTTTTGATTTAACATCAAAACATCACAACAGCATTATAACTGATGTTTTAAGTCAGCTAAAACAATGATTTTCTAGTATTGCCTAGACGAGTTGGGCTTAACTGCCATGGGATACATTTCTTAGTTCTTCAAAACTTTGTAAACGAACTTCCAGCATTCACTGGGCAGGTCCTGGGCTGCATAGAAAGGTGAAGACTCTTTGGACATGCACATCCATTCGCCAGCTTTCTCCAGCTCCGTCATCATCTCTTGATAGTGTTCTAATTCCTTTTTCATTATGTTGAAACAGAGGACGCCATCTGCAAAGAAGTTAACAGCAGAATTTAGTGTGGATCTTGTAAGGGTTTATCGGGGGAATTTTCCATCATTTTTCCTATTTGTCCATGTATTTATTAGATTTAACTCGCAGAGCTGGTTAATCCTTTCACTCCTAAGATCTCTTTAGTAATTCTCTTTAGTGTCTGTCATACAATTCCCTATAGTGTTAGTTAGGAGAATTTGGTGTTGGATTAACCAAGAACACCCTAATTGACATCTTCTTTTCTTTTTTCCCATTACTTGTTTGTTTGATATCGTATTGATACTGTAAGGAGAAATTCTGTCTTGGTCATTCATAGGAGTTAAGGGGTCAACCTTTAACCTGTAATATCATCCAAAGAGAAGTTGAAGGAACCAGCTTAAGGGCGTGCTCTTGATATATCAAGAAATTCTTTTAAACGAATTTACAGAGAGAAGATTTGACCCCAGAAGAAGATTTACGGGTCAGATGCCAGATGCTATGGGAATTTATCAAGAAGGGTGTTAGGTGAGTCTTCACTACCTGATCTATCTCACGGTTTGAGTTTTCAAAAAACAAAAAAAACGAAGCAAAAAATTTGCCAGAGGATTTTACACGTTTTTCTTTTTTTACAATCCTGATAAGTCCTCGATCTAAAATCATCCTTTTTTCTTTTTTGTTAAAGACATTATTATTTCCTAAAATGTTTATCAAAGTATGATGCTTAAAGGCCAGTGTCCGTTCTTGTTGTAGTTAACAGACTCCCCGCAGACATCCATGGGTCAATTATATCTGTGCCTCGGTAAACTCCTAGGAAAGACCTACCAGTTTGAACCATTCTTATCATCTCCACGAAAGCAGATGAGGCGATACGTCCTGTAATGAGCGCCCCACCACAAATCAAAGCATCGAATTGCCCTGATTTAATCTGAGGTATCGGTTGCCCATTCAAAGATGTGCAGATGAACTCAATATAGACCTCTTTCTTCTTTGCTTCCTCTAACATCTCAGCTGAGATGTCCAGAGCACATAGGTTGGTGTATCCGAGTTTCTTGAGCTCAACTCCAATCAGCCCTGTCCCAGCTCCAGCGTCGATGATTTTGATCTGATCCTTTGCCTTGTTCTGGTAAACTTCGCTAAGGGTTTCATGAAAAGATTCGGCCAGTGGCTTGAAATATATAGCGCGCGCCGCTGAATGTTCCTACATGATGAGAAAATCCAAGCCGGTTATTAAGATGAGAGGTTCGATAATTACGGCACTAGTCTAGTGTTGCCTCAGGCCCCTTTTCCTCGAGAGCTTCAGTAATTTTACGGACCCGAAAAGCTGATCTGTTTTCAATCAAAATCGAGATTTCTCCTTAAAAAATTGAACTTAAACAAAGCAAATATAGGGGAACAAGATATAATTAACTAGTTTTTTAGCTAATAAGGTACATTAAAAAAGTACTTAGTTCTGATTGGTTAAGATAAATGAAGTTTTCAGGTGATTCAGTGCAGAAGAGGGTTAATTCAGTGCAAAGAAGTAGCAAACCAGACCTAACAATTCCTTCAACTGTTTAGCCGGATATTGAACTTTTTTGCCCCTTAAAGATGTAAAAATATCGTTGTATATTATTCTTTTGATCGTTCGCGGTTGTTTTGACCGATCGCACAATGTCGCTTGCAGGGTTTGAATAAATTATTTTTGCACTTGGTGCGCGCGCTTTGCTTCTACAAAATCATGATAAGTTATCTCGTATTTTTTTCATGTCTATTATTAATACGTAATCACATGATTTTTCTCGTACCATTTGGAAGAAATAAGCACTTGTAAATTTTCAAAGACCACAAATTGCAGTAGCCTTACGGGCTCATGAAATTTTGAATTTTCCGGTAGTCATGGATCAGGTGTCCGGTGGTTCAAACTGCAATGTGCCACATCGTCCCCCAGACCCATATTATTATTATTTTACTATTTTAGAGTACCTCGTCATATGTTGCTGACCGTGCAGCATAGATACGTTTGATTTCATCTTCGGTTGTTTCTTTAGTTACTTTTGCTGTTGCTTCTCCGAAATACTTCATTAAGCTTGCTTTCAACTGTTTCTCATCCATTCTATATAGAGGAACAAAATACAAAATGTCATAGACACTTGTCAGGTGATGGCTTTCATTATGTGAAGTACGGTGCTTTGTGATTTCCAGCCCTGAGAAAAGCCTTAACAGAACACATGTAAAATTACGGTAATTTTTTCAGTTTTACATGTGACTGTTATCGCCAATCAGCTGCTAACACGTCAATCGCCTTTTGCACCACTCTGTAAGGTTGATGATTAACTGGTAAAGCGATCCCTGGAAACGAGGTTGACGAAAGCAATTCATTTCCCATCCACGTTCCTAGCCAAGCTGTTCTTTGAGTAACAAGTTGAAAAAATTCATAGCTTAGCTTTCTACTTGGCAACGAGCATGAATAACTGCAGTGATTTACAGAGTTGAATGTTCTGAATAATACAAAGTACAAAGTTGAATTTAAAGTGTGTAACAAAATTCTGATTGGACAAAAAAAACAATAGTAACAGAATAATGTATGCATCTACAAGGAAAGTTTTAAATTAACATGATAAAGTTAATGATTAAGTGTAGGTTTCTCCCACTGAATTTGGATAGCTTCTTTGATTTTAAGTTGAACAGTTGTGGAAGCGTGATCTAAGATAATAAAACACTCATCAGAACAAAGAGTGCGACATTGTGGAGAATTATGTTGATGTCTCAAAATGTGAGAGGTCCTATCAGCATTTTGTTACACACTTTGAATTCAACTTTGTACATTGTATTATTCATAACAGAAGATCATTGAAGAATACGTTTTTAAAGAGTTGAATGTCCTTTATAAGACAACTAAAGCCTATCGTTTCGTCAAGTGCAGTAATTTGCCGCAGACAAAACAAACCTTATCATTGGTAACAATGTTCCAATTGAATTTATCATAAATTTGTCTCAAAATCCTGACCATTTCTCATAGTAGTTTCGAAATTGTGGGAAACAAATACACGGTAGATGGTGTTAGATTTTCAAGGTGAAAAAAACATGACAATCAGAAGAGCAATCATACAACGGAATGAATCAAGAACAAGCTGTTTACCATACAACACTAATTTCTGGTTACCATGTATCCGCGGCAAAAAACAATATATCATGGGAAAAACCAAAAGAACTTAATTGCATTTGCTTTCAGTCGTCTTTAATACTTCACAATACTTTGGAATGGAAGTCCAATTCAAATTTTAAATGTTCATCGAAAATAAAGTTTCAAGGCTATTATTTCCATACTAATGATGTTGCAAACATTACATTAGCTGAGCAAAAAAAAAAACCTCACTGAAGAGTTCAGAATAATGTTGGGTCGCACTTAAGGAGAAAAACTATGCGCTTTGAAGCCCACCATACTCAGCAAAAAGCACTAAGTACTCTCGATCTGCCTTTCTCGGTTCTCCAAAACAGAATCAATTCTACTTACATCCAATTTTAACCCACTCTGTGGAACTCTGGTTAATTTCTTCGACTCTTACAATTTGATTCTCTCTGAATACTTTTTACTAACATCTCCCTGAATTGTGCTTGTGATTTGTTCATCGAAATTACAGTTTCAAGGCTACTATGCCTACCAATGATGTTGCGAACATTACATTAGCTGAGCAAAAAAACATACGTTACTGAAGAGTTCAGAATGATGTTGGGTCGCACTTAAGGAGGAAACTATGCGCTGTGAAGCCCACCATACTCAGCAAAAAGCACGAAGTACTCTCGATCAGCCTTTCTCGGTTCTCTAATACACAATAAATTCTACTTACATCCAATTTTTCCCCAGTCTGTGGAACTCTGGTTAATTTCTTCGACTCTTACAATTTGATTCTCTCTGAATACTTTTACTGACCTCTCCCTGATTTGTGCTGCGCATGCTACTAAATGAACTATGAAGTACATGCTTATATAGTCACTATAGATAGGCATGGACGGGCATGTCACTCAACCGGCCTTGAATGGTTATTTTAGACGACGACGTCTACTACTTTTATCTAACATTTTTATCAAAATGGTAGAAAAAAATTAATACAGAATACTTGGTGATCAGATAACAAAATCGGTTTGCACATTTGAGGTTTAACAAAGTGCTAATCGAAAACTACGACCATAAGGCGAGACAAATATTACAATTGGATATTTTGTGGCAAAAGCTTTATTTAAAGAAAAAATAAATATACCGTTTATGAGCGAAAAATGTCAGAATTCTTTGCGTTTAAGCGACCCGCGTAATAGATTCGCCATGCTTGAGTTATTGTCTACTTTATTAGAGAATACTCGAAGATCAGATTTCAAGATACTTAAAAGTACATTTTGGCTATAACTATCATTTTTTCTACTTTCAGAATACGCTGGCTTCAACTGCCCTGCAACTAGGCGCGTTCTAGAATAGACGAAATGAATGGCAGTCAGAAATTTTCATCGAATTTCCAACGAAAGGTTCCTTCAAACATGTTAAGAATATCAGATGTTCATTTAGAAATGTCAAAGATTAATTTGGCTGTTACTGGACAAATCTCCGTACCGTGCAGCCTATAATATCGCTCGGTTGTCGACACTTTGTACGCTTCTAATCAGATTGCCGGGCACGGAACAAATGCCCGGCGGTCAGAAAAGTGCTTCTAAGTGGTTCCATTCTCCAATCGCCATTGATTAAAATGTTAGATAAAAATAGTACAGAATACTTGGCGATAAGATTTTAAAATACTCAAAAGTACATTTTGGCTAAAACCATCATTTGTTTTAGTTTATTGTTCCTTAGAGCTTTTTTTTTTAAAAACTCGATTTAGTTTACGTTTATGGAGCGCCGTCTTTTCCCAAAAGTTTCAAATTTGCAAGAAAACAATATCCAAATAATTGCGTTTACGTTGTTTTACGTTCCACGTAGACATGGAGCGCGTGGAAAGTTTTGAGATCACTCAAGAAGCTACACTTGCTCTCGGCGACGCCTCAAGCAACTTCTCTGTCGCTATCTAAACTTCCCGTATATCGGCCATGATCGCACGCCAACGTATAAACCAATTTTTGATTCAAAGTGACAGTATGGTTAACTAGTGGATACCCTGTATAGAACATGGAGATATCAGATGTTGGAAGAAAATATCATGAAAAGAAATTGATTGAATCAACGGTTTTTTATATCTCTGCTTCAATAAGCTTGTGGAGTGATGGTCTTAAATCTGTTCATGGACGCACCATGTCTTGAGGTTGCGACGTTTGAGAGTCGTGTGGCCGAACTAAAACCGTGTGTACCTGATCTAGAAATGTATACAAGCGAGCAGCTTCAGACTCATGCGGTCACAGCTGCTTGGGTTAATCAATCAAAATCTTTGTTTCACTACTCAGAGTGGGTTGACTAATCTCACGTTATGACTATATTTGGTCATGGATGATTGACATCAGGTTCATTGGCCTGACAATTATGGGTGGGTGGAACTGTAGACACACATTTTTATCGCAGTATTTGTTTGTTATTATAACGCGATATGAGTTAAGTGCAAGTAGGAATACCACTGCCGCCACGGTACACCCATCAAAGACAAAATTTCCGGTAAGGAATATGTCAGTTAAGAGAGCGGCGTACTCTGAAGTGAAGAGACCTTGAATGACCTTCATAACGACAATGTTCAGGTCACTTTTATATTAAAGGGTCACGTGACAGACTGTGTCAAAGTGTTCATGAATTCGCCAGATCAATTAATCTAAAAAAGAACTGTAAATAACAAAGCTGCCACTTGCTACGCCCTTATTTAAAGTGTCGTTTAAAAGTTATGCTGGTCAGAATTCCAAGGTTATCCAGGGCATCGTTTAAAACATTTGCAGAGAGAGCTTGCAAAATTGGAAGTAAAGCCCAGTTCTGATAACTCGAACGCTTGCTTGTGGGATTTTGTCATTCGTGTATACCGTAGGGTATACCCACAGATGCTTTTAGAAGATAACAGCACAAATCTGAAATATGTTGAAAGACCAAATTTTGTTTTTCTAACACAGATTTCAGTTGTCTTTGTAAGTGACTTCTTCTTTCTTTATTACATCTAGGAATTTTCTAACGTTAACGTTGGAAGCATTTTTTTGAGAGTGTAGATTTATTTCAAGCCTACGAAATTTACTGTTCAAAGCAGGTAAAGTGTCTTCGTATATCCAACGTTCTCACATTTTTTTTCATTTATAAGACCATTGCATCTGCATTGCTGGAATCCCTTTCTGAGAAAACGGAGCTGCTAAGAATATTCCTTAATGTGAGTGGTAACTTGACCTTCGCAGAGACAAATTTCAATATTTCACGAGTACTTTACTATTTTTACAGTACGGTTAGCCTGGAATCGATTCATCTCTCACATTTTCAGACATCTAGATAATTCTCCACAATGTCACACTCTTTTATGATGAGTGTTTTAGCATCTTAGATCACGCTTCCACGACTTTTCAACTTAAAATAAAAGGAGTTATCCGCATTCAATGGGAGAAACCCACACTTAATCATCAACTTTATCATGTTAATTTAAAACTTTCCTCGTAAATGCATACATTGTTCTTGTTCTGTTACTATTGTTTTTTTGTCCAATCAGCATTTTGTTACATTCTTTAAATTCAACTTTGTACTTTGTATTATTCAGAACTGAAGATGACAGAAGAACTGTCGAAACATGTTTTTAAAGAGTTGAATGTCCTTTATAAAACAATTAAAGCTAATCTTAACGTCAAGTGCAGTTCTTTACCGCAGACAAAACAAACCATATCACTAGTTTCAATGTTTCTGTTGAATTTGTCATAAATTTGCCTCAAAATCCTAACCACTTCTTATAGTATTTCCGAAATTGTGGGAAGCAAATACACGGTCGATAGTGTTAGATTTTAAAGGGGAACGAAACATGACAATCAGAAGAACAATCATACAATGGAATGAATCAAGAACAAGCTGTTCACCCTAAAACAATAATTTCTGGTTACCATGTATCTGCGGCAAGTGAACATCATCGGAAAAACCAAGAGAACTTCATTGCATTTACTCTCAGTCGTCTTCAATGCTTCACAATACTTTGAAATGAAAGTCCAACCTAAATTGTAAATGTTCATCAAAATTACAGTTTCAAGGCTACTATTTTCATACTAATGAGGTCAAAACATTACATTAGCTGACAAAAAATAATACCTTACTGAAGAGTTCAGAATAAGGTTGGGTTGCATTTAAGGAGAAAACAATGCGCTCTCAAGCTCACCACGCGAAAGGCACCAAGTAATCTCGATCTGCCTTTCTTTCTAATACACAATCAGTTCTACTAACATCCAATTTTACCCCGCTCTGTGGAACTCTGGTTAATTTCTTCGACTCTTACAATTGGATTCTCTATGATTACTTTTTACTGACCTCTCGCTGGATTGTGCTTGTGATTTTTTCATCAAAATTACAGTTTCAAGGATGCTGTTTTCATACAAATTATGTTGCGAACATTACATTTGCTGAGTAAAAAACCACGTTACTGAAGAGTTCAGAATAATGTTGGGTCGCACTTAGAGATAAAACTATGCGCTGTGAAGCCCACCATACTCAGTGAAAGGCACGAAGTAATCTCGATCTGCCTTTCTCGGTTCTCTAATACAGAATCAATTCTACTTACATCCAATTTTACCCCACTCTGTGGAACTCTGGTTAATTTCTTCGACTCTTAGAATTTGATTTTCTCTGAATACTTTTACTGACCTCTCCCTGATTTGTGCTGCGCATGCTTTTAAATGAACTATGAAGTACATGCTTATATAGTCACTATAGATAGGCATGGACGGGCATGTCACTCAACTGGCCTTGAATGGTTAATTTAGACCACGACGTCTACAAAGTAGACTCAAGCATGGCGAATCTATTACGCGGGTCGCTTAAACGCAAAGAATTCTGATATTTTTTCGCTCATAAATGCTATATTAAGTTTTTCTTTATAAAAAATGTTAGATAAAAATATTAGATAATACTCGAAGATCAGATTTCAAAATACTTTAAAGTACATTTTTGCTATTACCATCATTTTTTCTAGTTTCAGAATAAGCTGCCTCTAAATGCCTGCAACCAGGTACGTTCTAAAATAGACGAAGTGTCTGGCAGTCAGAAATTTTTACAGAATTTCCACCGAAAGGTTCTTTCAAACTTCTTAAGATTATCAGATGTTTATTTCGAAATGCCAAAGGTTAATTTGGCTTTTAGTGGACAAATTCCCCTTGCCGTGCAGCGTTTAATATCGCTCGGTTGTCGACACTTTGTACGCTTCTAATCAGATTGCCGTGAACGGACCAAATGCCCGGCGGTCAGAATTTTTCAAAGTGCCACTAAATCTTTCCATTCTCCATTCTCCATTGATCAAAATGTTAGATAAAAATAGTACAGAATACTTGGCGATAAGATTTTAAAATACTCAAAAGTACATTTTGGCTAAAACTAATATTTGTTTTAGTTTAAGAGAAAGTTGTAGAACCGTTATTTCCTTAGAGCTTTTTCTAGTAAAAATAAGATTTTTTTGCACTTATGGAGCCCCCTCTTTTCCCAGAAGTTTTAAATTGCAAGAAAACAATATCTAAAAAACTGCGTGACGTTGTTTTAAAGCAATTGGTTCATACGTGCGTTCATGGAGACATGGAGTGCGTGGGAGGTTTTGAAACGACGCCTCGAGCAACTTCTCTGTCGCTGTTTAAACTTCCCGTATATCGGCCATGAGCCCACGCTAAATTATGAACCAATTGTTAATTCAAAGTGACAGTATGGTTAACTAGTGGATACCCTGTAGAGAACATGGAGATATCAGATGTTGGAAGGAAATATCATGAAAAGGAATTGTTTGAACCAACTTATATCTCTGCTTCAATAAGCTTGTGGAGTGATGGTCTTAAATCTGTTCATGGACGCACAGCTCTCTTGAGATTGCGACGTTTGAGAGTCGTGTAGCCGGGCCGTATGTATCTGATCTAGAAATGTATACAAGCGAGCAGCTACAGACCCATGCGGTCAAGTCGGTCACAGATGCTTGGGTTAATCAATCAAAATCTTTGTTTCACTGCACAGAGTGGGTTGACTAATCTCATGTTATGACTATATTTGGTCATGGATGATTGACATCAGGTTCATTGGCCTGACAATTTTGGTGGCTGGTACTGTGAGCACGCATTTTTATCGTAGTATTTTGTTTGTTATTACGACGCAATATGAGTTAAGTGCAAGTAGGAACACCACTGCTACCACGGTACACACTATCAAAGACAAGATTTCGTTTGGAATTTGTCAGTTGAGAGTGAGGCGTTCTCTGAAGTGAAGAGACCTTGAATAACCTTCATAAAAATAATGCCCAGGTGGCTTTTATATTAACCGGTCATGTGACAGACTCTGTGTCAGAGTGTACATGAATTAAACAGATTAAGGAATCTAGAAAGAACCGTAAAGAACAGAGCTGCCACTTGTCACGCCTTTATGTCAAGTATCGTTTAAAAGTTATGCTGGTCAAAATTCCAAGGTTATCCAGAGAACCTTCTAAAACATTTGCAGAGAAAGCTTGCAAAATTGGATGCAAATCCCAGTTCTGATAACTCGAACACTTGTTCATGGGATTTCGTCATTCATGTATACCGTAGGGTATATCCCCAGATGCCTTTAGAAGATATCAGCACAAATCTGAAACATGTTGAAAAGCCAAATTTTGTTTTTTTAACACAAATTTCAGTTGTCTCTGTAAGTGACTTCTTCTTTCTTTATTACATCTAGGAATTTTCTAACGTTTCTAATTTTCTAGATTTCTTTCAAGCCTACGAAATTTATTGTTCAAAGCAGGTGAAGTGTCCTCGTATATCCAACGTTTTATGAACACGACACAGATATCAATTTTGCTCTTATAAAATCATTTCAATCTGGTTCTGAAATTTCTGTCATTTATAAGATCCCTGCATCTGCATTGCTGGAATCCCTTTAGAAGAAAACGGAGCTGCTAAGAATATTCCTAAATGTGAGTGGTAACTTGACCTTCGCAGAGAAAAATTTCAATATTTCACGAGTACTTTACTATTTTTTTTACAGTACGGTTAGCCTAGTATCGATTCGTCTTCTGTTTTTCTCGTAAGATTTAATGATTTTATTTGCTTATTGTTTATTTTAGGGTAACATGTCGCGAAAATCCAAAGTGTTGCAAAACTTGAACTCTTTTATTCTCGCTCCTGCTCAAAGAAGCATGAAGTAAGTTAAAACTTGATTGGCTGGCAAGTCAATCAGGCTGACGATTAATTTTGTCTTTAAGTGGGTCAGTCAATTCGATAGTACGTACGTAATTCAGTCAGTCAGTCCGAATATATGTACTCTGTGATGCTCTCGAAGGTGTCCTCCTGATCATTAAAGTGTTTGTTGAAAACCTTAACTTTGAAAGGCTTCTCTCCAGTTTGTACCTTGTGGGGCAAGAACACTAATGACCTTAAACAACAATTGTAAGCGATAGGATGCATTCCATGTCATTTGTGAGATTTACTTTGTAAGGTACCATACGCACTAGATTTCAAAATTTGTCTACTCTGCCAAAAATCTTGCTAAGTTTTATCTCCGCTAAATTATAAATTTGGTAATTATATACGTAGTTGAAATATTTGATAACCGCAGAGTCTATTACCTTTAAATCGAACACCTTTATTTCGATTCCGTTCGCATGAAAGCGCACGGTATATATGTTTACATGCAGCCGTCAATTCTTGTGAGAAAATGTTGCCTCGTGATATACTTACGTTCGACGAAGGAGAACGCATACTAATCGTGTCGTTTTTGGGGAAATCACTCTCGGGGGTTTTACGGACTAGTCCCAAGTCTATCGATCGTAATGCCATACGATTTCAGGCATTGGGCGCCATTTTGGACTGGCTAACTGGCTGGCTGGCTGGCTATGTGGCAAAAATAGCCTTGATCTCACGTGCAAATGTCTTTTTGGCCGCCTTGAGCTTAAGACACCGATTTTTTTTTTCTCTACGCAATCAGTGAAAAAAAAATACTTTTACCAGAGATCGAATGCACTTTGCTATACTGGTTTTTTCCACAAACGCTATTCTATATCTCTGTGTGACAGCTGAATGATTAAAACCTTAGTGAATTGATATGCCATATTTCAGTAGTTTTTTTAAATTCCTTCTTTATGTTTTTGGTATTTACTATTTTAAAATTCATAAATGGCATTCCCTTTTCATCCTTGTAAAGAGATGATACACATTTCTTTAACTTAAATATGAATTATGAAGTCAGCTTAATTTCAACGAGTTTAAAATTTCATTCTACATAAGAACACTTTACTGGAGTACATAATTTTATATTTATTTGCTGTCTTTCTGGTACACATGATAACCACGTGTCTTAACCCTTTAGCTCCCGAAATTTCATGAGTAATCCTCCTTACTGTCTGCCATACAATTTATGTGATGTTAGTTTGGAGAATTTGGGGTTGGATCGACAAATAATCCCCTAATTGATATTTTTCTTAATTCTCGGTACTTGTCTGCTTTATATCATACTAATAATGTAAGGAGAAATTCTGTCTAGGTCACCGGTGGGACTTAAAGGGTTAAAATGGGGGATTTCATCATATTTTAATGATTGAAATATTCGTATGCTTTCAAATGTAACAAAAAAATGTGATGAGAATCTGATGTTATGAAACACTCGCAATGAAAAAACCTGTTCCTGGTAGCTTATGTCTTTAATGCTTACAATTCCAAGGGAAATGCTTTTCTTTGAAAGTGGGGATACAGAAGTTTTTAAAGCTGATAGAATAAGCCGTTTGCAAGTAATAACAGGCAAATTGACAAATGTAGCTTAATGCTTGACATGCTTCACTCATACATGTCAGTTATGTGTACCTACCATTGTAGAGGTGTCCTTAAAAAGGTTTTTTTTTTTTTACACAACGCAACCTTCAGGGTGGAAGAGTAGAAGACCATAGAATGATGTTTACTTGGCACTTGTACTTTCTGCAATTATATATTCAAGCAGTGCTCTACATATATATATATATATATATATATATATATAGGAAGTCTGCAAGTCGATTTTCGCGTGGAACAGTGCTCAATACGTTGAAGCAGAGCAGAATAAATATTATGAGAGGAAAAAAGGACGCAACTACATTTCCCGACAAGCCTGTTCGTGAATCGCTTCACTCTTCAGGGGTTTAATGAAAGAATATTCATGTGACTATCGTTTATATAAGTCGCTGTCGATAGTCATTTTGTGATGGAAGCGGTATATTCTTTATATATATATATATACATATATAACTCATTACATGATGTCTTTAACCCTTTACACCCCAATATCAGAATGCACATTCTCCATACTGTTCTCTATACATTTCCTAATGTGCTGGCAAGGAAAATTTGTTTAACAATGAAGAGGTTCTTCAGTTAATTATCATTTCCTTTATTCTCATGACCGTAACGTGTGACTCAGGGGTGATACTGAAAAGAGAAATTAGATGCTCCCAGGGATTAAAGTGTTATCAACTGTACACATTTTCATATATATGCTCCTCGCATTTGTTGGCAACAATACCTAAGATTGTTAGGAAAGCAAACAAACAAGTGAACAGAAGGCAGTGAAATAAGGGAAACTGTAAACTTCACCATGTGATAGAAAACATTTCACAGAATACCTAAGAGGGGAAACTTGAATTGTGCTAGCTAATTTCCTCTATTGCCGCTCATGTTTTTGATCAAATAAAACTTAATCAGTGGTAGGGTTGCCTGCAATGTGTCAAATGTCCGGTGTGGACTTCATTCTTCTCAGATGTCAGCTGGTAAAAGATAGATACTAAAAATAGCTGTCCATAAGAAAAAGTACACATCATTAAAAAAAATCCCACTGAAGTGGTGGCATGATTGATTTGTGATATTTAGAATGACAGAAGCAGGAAAAACACATTGAGCTTTTCCCTATTCACCGGTAATTTAATTAGATTTTGGATTCTACATTTAGACTGGGTGAGATTAACTTTATTCCTATCATGCTTGGTCATGGTTTGTTTACCTGCAAAGGTAATTGTTATTATAGCTTCACAGATGTTTTTTGTTGCAATCACAATTAACATTTTTAACAAAGTTTCATTTAACATAGGATGTTTCAAGAACTTTCTTCCTTCCTCTCCAATACCATTTACTATTCCTGGAGCACAATTAAAGGTAGCAGGTTATAAAAAAATTATAACTTTTGATTCTGGTAATTATTTAAATATGTGAGTAACATTTGATGATTTCACATGTAACAGGATGATAAAGCTGAAGATAGCCTCAAAAAGGAATGAACTCTACTGTAAGAATTAGGTGATTAATTTGGAAACTTGAGCACTTGGTAAATACACCTTGACTTTGTGTTTCCTTCTCTCGTTGCTCTTCGCTAGATATCCGCCTTTTTACTTATGCCCTTTATTGTTCTCTTTCGCGTTCCTCTCTCCGTATTCTGCCAGTTTTGGCGTCCTTTCTAACTTTCTTGCGCGATTTTCTGGACTCGCTTTACGCCATTTACTTGTTGCTTTCTTTGGTCGCTCTGTCTCTTCATATCCAGCCTATTTTCACTTAAAACCTTCTCTCCACGAACTTGAATTAGAACAATTTCCTCCGGTTGACAAAGCTTAAATTCTGCCGGTATTGTTGTCTTACGAGTTGTTTAGAAATTGCAAAATACTGAGAATTACTGTTTAACTACAACCTAACCAGTTTGATTTCCCGCTCAAAACGCGGTTGTAAAATTATTTACTCACGCGGCTTAACATCTACTTGCCCACGTGAGGCCCTCTTGTAAAATCATACTTCATTGTCGTCTGCCGGTGTCTCCTGGCACACACGAATGGGGTATTCAAGTTACGTAAGCAATCGCGCCTGCACATCACCTTTTCCCTCGCCCTTCCATTAAGATAGTCCTCACGGTACATTTGGCCGCGCATGCTAAAAGAAGCACCTTGTGCGGACGCCCGTACGGTCATAAGTCTAAATTTTTTCGGCTTGATGGGTTACTACTATTTTGTATAATTACGGGGCTACGCTGCGCGCGCTGCGAGCTCCGCTATAACTATTAATAATGAGAAATTAGCAAATTGCGTTTGATCTCTAGTAAAAGTTTTTTTAATTTTACTCATTGCGCAGAGAAAAAAAAAAATCGGTGTCTTAAGCTCAAGGCGGCCAAGAAAACATTTTCACGTGAGATCGAGGCTATTTGTGCCACATAGCCAACCAGCCTGTCAGCCAGTCCAAAATGGCGCCCAATGCCTGAAATTGCATGGCATCATGATCGATCGCCTTGGGACTAGCCCGTAAAACCCTCGAGAGTGATTTCCCCAAAAACGACACGATTAGTATGCGTTCTCCTTCGTCGAACGCAAGTATATCACGAGGCAACATTTTCTCTCAAGAATTGACGGCTGCATGTAAAAATATAAACCGTGCGCTTTCATGCGAACGGAATCGAAATAAAGGTGTTCGATTTCAAGGTAATAGACTCTGCGGTTATAAAATATTTCAACTGCATATATTATTACCAAATTTATAATTTAGCAGAGACAAAACTTACCAAGACTTTTGGCTGAGTAGACAAATTTTGAAACCTAGAGCTTATGGTACCATACAAAGTAAATCTCACAAATGACATGGAGTGCATCCTATCGTTTACAATTGTTGTTTAAGGTCATTAGCATTCTTACCCCAGAAGGTACAAGCTGGAGAAAAGCCTTTCAAAGGTAAGGTTTTCAACAAACACTTTAATGATCAGGAGGACACCTTTCAGAGCATCACAGAGTACATGGATTCGGACTGACGACTGTACGACCGTACAAGGTGCTACTTTTGGCATGCGCAGCCAACCGTACCACGGGCACTTAGCCATTACGTAATGGACGGGCGAGGGAGAAGGTAATGCGCAAGCGCGATTGCGTGCGTAACTTGGATACCACATTAGTGTGCACCAAGAGACACCGTCAGATGACGATAAAGTGCGCATACTCGAACGTCGAGCTGCAGTGTAGCGTACTGCGGGCACACGGTTAGGCATTGCACGAGGGCTTCACGTGAGCTAGAGATGAAATTTGCCACCCGCGTTTTGAGCGGGTGGCAAATTTCAGAGCGGGTTTTGAACTGGTCAGGATGTAGTTGAACAGTAATTCTCATTATTTTGCAATTTCTAAACAACTCGTAAGACAACAATACCGGCAGAGTTTAAGCTTTGTCAACCGGAGGAAATTGTTATAATTCAAGTTCGTGGAGAGAGGGTTTTAATTGAAAATAGTCTGGATATAAAGAGACAGAGCGAGTCCAGAAAATCCAGCGTAAAGCGAGTCCAGAAAATCGCTCAAGAAAGTTACAAAGGACGCCAAAATAGGCAGAATACGGCTAGAGGAACACGAAAGAGAACAATAAAGGGCATAAGTAAAAAGGCGAGTTTCTAGCGAAGAGCAACGCGAGAAGGAAATACAAAGTCGCTTCTGAAAACACACAGAAAAGAGGTCTTCAACAAAGAGAAGCGAACTGCAAAGGATCCGCGAAAGAAGGGCGGTAAGTCGTGTCCTTTCTGGGTTTTCTCTTACGCTAAGACCCAGAAAAAAATTCAAACTTTTTTTTTTACCAATCGTCGTTTGATACTAGCTTCAGTTTTTAATTCAACTGATCACGTTTCGGTTAAACATTGACTCTGGCATTCATCGCCTAAAAACTCTTACGCCGGTTCATCACACAAGGTAACCTTCAGGGTGGAGGAGTAGAAGACCACAGAATGATGTTTACTAAGCATTTGTACTTAATGCAGTCATATATTCAAGCAGTACTGTACATATATATAACTAATTACATGATGTCTTTAACCCTTTACACTCCAATATCAGAATGCATATGGTCCAAACCGTTCTCTATATATTTCCTTATGAGCTTGCAAGGAGAATTTGTTTAACAATCAAGAGGTTCTTCAGTTGATTATCATTTACCTTAATGTGTGAATCAGGGGTGATATTGAATGGAGACATTAGATGCTAGTCACTCTCAGGGATTAAAGTGTTATTAGCTGTACACATTTTCATGTATATGCTCCTCACATTTTTTGGCAACAATAGCTAGGATTGTTAGGAAAGCAAACAAACTAGTGAACAAAAGACAGTGAAATGAGGGAAATAAAATTAAACTTTACAATGTGATAGAAAACTATCGCAGAATACTTAAAGAGGGGAAACTTGAATTGTGCTAGTTAATTTCCTCTATTGCCATTCATGTTTTTGATCAAATAAAATTTAACCCTTTAACTCTCAGTTCAAATTTGTAATTCTCCTTACTGTCAACTATACAATTCTTATGATGTTAGTTCTAAGAATTTAGTTTTGGATCAACCAATTATTCTCAAGTTTATATTTTTCTTTATTCTCATCACTTATCTGATTGATATTGTATTGATATTGTTAGGAGAAATTCTGCCTTGGTCACTCATTGGAGTTAAAGGGTTAATCAGTTGTAGTGTTTGCCTGCAATGTGTCAAATTTCCAGTGTACACTTCATTCTTCTCAGATGTCCGCTCGACAAGATATATACTTAAAATAGCTGTTCATAAGAAAAAGCACACATCATTAAAAAAAATCACACTGAAGTGGTGGCATGATTGATTTGTGATATTTAGAATGACAGAGGCAGGAAAAACACATTGAGCTTTTTCCTATTCACCAGTAAGTTAATTAGATTTCGGATTCTACATTCAGACTGGGTGAGATTAAATTTATTCATATCATGGTTCATTATGGTCTGTTACCTGGAAAGGTAATTGTTATAGCTTCACAGATGTTTTTGTTGCAATCACAATTAACATTCATTATAAAATTTCATTTAACATGGAATGTTTCAAGAACACTTTTCCTTTCTCTTCAATACCATTTACTATTCCTGGATCACAATTAAAGTTAGCAGGTTATTAAAAAAAATTATAACTTTTGATTCAGGTAATTATTTTAATATGTGAGTAACATTTGATGATTTCACATGTAACAGGATGATCAAGCTGAAGATAGCCTAAAAAAGGATTGAACTCCACTGTAAGAATTAGGTAACTAATTTGGAAACTTTAGCAATCGGTTAATACACCATGGCTTGCAATTCTGATGATTATAGTTTGCTGAGGTAATTGAAATGTTAGTCCCCATGCAGGAACCTTCCACTTCACCTGTACAGTCATGTGCTATGAGATAACTTTAGAAAAATGCATTTGTGTTGGCAGAACTATTGTGAATACAGTACCACCAGAGACAAAAATAAATGATTTCTTGTAAGCATGAACATTTTGGAGAAGGTATGGTGGTAAATGACCCTTATTTTGCTCGGATGCATAGGGTCTGATGATTGTCATATATATCTTTTAGCTTTCAAACTTTCAACTTTGTATTAATTGTAGCTGTTTACTATGTCTTAATTCTCTGTATCATAGCCCTCAAAAGTTGAATTGGGCAAGTCAATAACCTGACTTCCTTTGTTTGGAATTGTGTGATTATATAATTTTGCTGTGTTGGTTACTATAATGTAACATGTAATATATATTATTATTAAGATTGCATTGAATACGCTAGCTCAAGCTTTCATTAATGCATGGTGTTCCTTACCAATGGTCTTACCTAAACTGAACATTGAAATAAGGAATTAGGTCTTAGGAATTAGGAATTGGTCACAAGATATGTGAGTTTAAAAGGGTGGGAATCTGGAAAAACAAGGATCCTCCTTTAATTAGGACTCAAATTAATAGGGGCCCTCCTATTTTAATTCATGTTATTAATTTAACCTGCCTCCTCCCCTGTAATGTTCAGGGCACATAGATGAAGAGAACATTTTTTTGTATTTTGATGCATAAAAGTTAAATAACCAGTAATTGGCATCCACATAATCACAAAACAAGAATGTAAAGCTTTAGCTTAATTGGTTAAAAAATCAAAGTAAGAGAGTTTTGCAGACCGTGTCTGACTTTTTATCCCAGCTATATTTATTTAAGTAACAAAGACACTATCAGTCTCATCCACTCTCTCTTTCCACTGAACTTGTGGAAAGATGATAACATCATTATTTCTTTAAATGAAGAAAGGAAAGCCTGCCCTCTTACCACAGATAGTTCTGTTGGGCATCATCAGTTCAAGATGACTGTTCCAGGTAAGCTAACCTTAAAAATTACTTGTGAAAATTTCTTGAACCTGTCATTGTACATCTTGAATGTTTGACTCAATTTTACCTCACCAACCTAAACTGAATAAATAGAAACATGAAATTTATTTGTTCTCCTTTTGAAGTGTGCATCAAAATTTCAAAGTCATCACAGGCTTAAACTATAGGTTAACAGGAAATCTGCATGTGTATGTGTTTTCAACATATGAAACTGGGATTATGACTACTTCAAAAGACTTAACTACATGCCATATAGGTACAGGAAGGTTTTGTAAAAAAAGTTTGCTTAGCTTTTTCATTAGTACACATTTCTTTTTCTAAGAACCTTGTTTATCCAGCCTGTGCTTAATTCCAATTTTTCAACCAAATTTTATTATGTTTTTAATATTATTAAATCTCCTAGTATCAGTTAATATTCTTGTAATTAAAATAATTACATCAAATCTTGCAGATGTATGGCAGATTATTTTTCTTCTGAACCTCCTAACATTTTACCATTTGAAGGGACTGGTATTGGCTATAAAAGTATAGTCAAATTAAAGGTTTTTGCACAACCTATGCATCGAGTTTTTGTTATAAAATATTGTATCCTTCTCAAAACTAGTTTATCAGAATAAGAATGAGTTACCAGGAACAAGTATGGCTTTCGTGATGATAGTTTCCAGATTTAAAAAAATGTCACTGCCTACTAAAATCCTCAGTTCCTTTGCCTTGCTAGCCCAACCTCATCAAAACATTGCCAACAGGAGTGATTAGCAAATTATTGATACAGACAAGAGGGCCTATTCCACATACATCCTCCTCAATCCTGTTAGCTTACTATGGTCATGGCATTTCAAACATGGTGTATATGCCACAAGTTTTCCATTTCCCTAACTAATTACTTTGTAATAGTGTTTATATGTTGAGGAAATGGTTGGGTTGAAATATAATACAAAGACTTGCCAGTAGATAGTTTTATTACAGTTTTTATTCAGTGCAACGTAGGGTTGGAAAATAAACTAATAAGAGCTCCGCTTTTAGGCTTGGCTAAATCTATATATTAGCCTTGATTCATTCCGTTGTATGATTGCTCTTCTGATTGTCATGTTTTGTTCGCCTTGAAAGTCTAACACCATCGACCGTGTATTTGTTTCCCACAATTTCGAAACTACTATGAAAAATGGTTCGGATTTTGAGACAAATTTATGATAAATTCAACTGAAACATTGATACAAGTGATAAGGTTTGTTTTGTCTGCAGTAAAGAACTGCACTTGACTAGAAGATTAGCTTAGTTCTTTTATAAAGGACATTCAACTCTTTAAAAACATGTTTCGACAGTTCTTCTGTCATCTTCAGTTCTGAATAATACAAAGTACAAAGTTGAATTAAAAGTGTGACAAAATGCTGATAGGACCTCTCACATTTTCAGACATCTACATAATTCTCCACAATGTCGCATTCTTTGTTCTGATGAGTGTTCTAACATCTTAGATCATACTTCCGCAACTTTTCAACTTAAATTCAAAGAAGCTATCCACATTTAATGGAAGAAACCTACACTTAATCACCGACTTTGTCATGCTCATTTGAAACTTTCCTTGTAAAGTATTCATTGTTCTGTTACTATTGTTTGTTTCGTCCAATCAGCGTTTTGTTACACACTTTAAATTCAACTTTGTACTTTGCACTTTGTACTCTTCAGAATATTATCGTAGTTTTACACGTGTGCTGTCAAGGCTTTTCTCAGGGCTGGAAATCATTACAAAGCACCGCACTTCGCATAAAAAAAGCCTGCATCAGACAAGTGTATTTGACATTTCGCATTTTTTTCCTCAATATAGAATGGATGAGAAGCAATTCAAAAGAAGCGTAACGAAGTACTTCGGAGAAGCAACAGCAAAAGTAACCAAAGAAACAACCGAAGATGAAATCAAACGTATTTATGCTGCACGGTCAGCAACATATGACGAGGTACTCTGAAATAGTTAAATAATAATAATAAGGGTCAGGGGTACGATGTTGCACATTGCCGTTTGACCCACCGGACACCTGACCATCATTCAGGGTTGCGTTTCTCTAATGTTCCAGGCTACCGATCTGTAATACCAGTAATACCTTTCACGAGCCCGAAGGGTGAACGCGATTTGTGGTCTTTGAAAACATTTACACGTGCTTATTTATTCCAAATTGCACGAGAAAAATCAAGTGATTACGTATTAATAATATACATGGAAAAATACTAGATAGCTATCGTAATTATGCAGAGGAAGAATTTATTCAAACCCTGCAAGTGACATTGTGCGTTCCGTCAAAACAACCGTGAACGATCAAAACAATAATAGTCAACGATATTTTCACATCTTTAAGGCACAAAAAAGTTCAAAATCCGAATAAAGAGTTCAGGGAATTATTCGGTCTGGTTTGCGACTTCTTTGTACTGAATCAACTCTCTTCTGCATTGAATTACCTGAAAACTTCATTTATCTTTACCAATCAGAACTGAGTAATCTTTTCATGTACCTTATTACCCTTGCGAACTGAATTCCCAGTTTTCTAGAATTCCTAGGAATTCTCAAAAATTCCCAATTATGCAAATGACCCTTGCAAACTGAATTCCCAGTTTTCTGGGAATTTCTGGGAATTCCTAGGAATTCTCAAAAATTCCCAACTATGCAAATTAACTCTGATTTAAAAAGCTTGGAATTACTGGGAATTTCTGGGAAAGTGGAATTCTTAGGAATTCTCAGCTTTACAAACTACCTATAATTTAAGAAGTGTGGAACTCTTGGGAATTTCTGGGAATTGAATTTGAGGCAATTTTAATACCCTGAGGTCCACATAAATTCTAAGAAATTCTCAATACCTTGAATGTGAACGTTTTAAGAAAAAGAGTAATGTCAGAGGCTTAAAACTTTGGCTCAATAAAAGGTATGCTATACAAAACTTACCAAGAGATATACATACATGTACATGTTTATAACTTAAAGATCATGAAATTTATTATTCAAACTAAGTTTTAGTAAATCTTTACATTAATATGGATTATCTCATGAACCAGCAGTCAGTTATGTTAAATGGAAATTGCCAACTTCCACAATAATTAACGATAATTACATTGTTATCTTACTTCCCTAACCTACATTACTGGTTGCCTTTGTTAGAAAACCTTGGAACAGTCAAGCTCAGTTGCCTCAAACGCTGTCAGAGACTTTTTGTTGACAATACTTTTAGTAGAAATTTCATGCCTTAGACAAACAAATTCAACACCTAATTAATCTTTCTTTTTTCATGATTGTTGTTGCTGCTTTTTTTTTCAGTTTTTTGCTCTATTTTCATGACTAATTGCTGTAACTTGTTTTGCTGTTTTTATTCTTACAAAACATTTTTGTAAGAGTTCCAATACTTATGGATCATCCACACACTTTGCAAACATTTCGCATGCAGACAAGACAGAGGTAGTCAATGTTCGCTTTGAGAAAAAACAACTTTTATATGTCTTCAATTTACTTTATTTGAAACTCTGATCTGAAAATATTTGTCAACAAGACTTGTTAGTAGTGAGAAGTACCAACCAAGTTTTCTTTCATTACTTAATTTCTTAAATGTCCCAATCACTGGATCTCCCAAAAAATATTACATCTTTTTATTTTTGGTGCAAATTACTAGTCCTTCTTTATATAAAAATGAAAAGTGCTAGTCACACTTCAATAATAACAGCTCTTAAGTTTACTTGTTGTTCTTCTCTGTCTGTCAGCCATCAACAAAATTGTTTTATACTTCGGGCAGTGCATAACTATTTGTGGACCAGAGTTCCAACGCACCTTTGTAATCGCATATAGCTACTTCTGTCTCTTGTACAAATGTTTCTCCTTTGTAAGACGCACTCTACTCTGTTGTCAATACTGCTTTAATTTCAGTGGAAACGACTGACTGAGGAATCGAGATGGCGTTGTTGGAACGTGTTGCTGAACGCTTGCTACGGTCAAGCTTTGTAGATTTAGGTACTGGTACACTGGGATCATCTATGTATCTCTTATACTTCCGAATGTGGTATCCTTCTTTTATAAATATGAGGGTAAAAGACGATTTGTAGTCGCATTCAAAACTGTGATTGACTTGTGTTATTTCTCACCTTTGTCATAAACACAACTCACAAAAGTGAGTTTCGAGTCTTTGTTTCCTCGACAACTTTCGGCCACAAATCGTGCATTTGTAATACGATCGATTCTTGTCGATTATTTCTACATAGAGTGAGCTCACATCTTTATTTATATCACCAAGCTATCCATCTTCTAGAAGCAGAGAACCGGTCGGAGAAGTCAGAATAAAGTTAGGCGCTTCTCTTAACACTGCAATCGGCAAGCCAGCGGATTCACTTTGCTAGCCAATGACAAGTCCTAAAAGATCCACGTGATCATGCCCGTGATCGGAAACAAAGAAGACTCCATTTGGCGCTCATCTTTGAATGTACTTTTCATCGGTTGATCGCTTTTCTCAACTGTTTTGCTTAATATAACATTTCTAAAGGTAGCTTTTATTGTGGTTCAATGGGAAAACCAGAATAGCGTGAGTGTTGTAAAAGAAAAGAAAGTCGTTGGCGCCGTGGAGTTAAAAGAAGGGACAACAGTTGACATATTGACTGGTACAAACAAGGGTCGAGTGGCCATCTGTAAAGCTACGATTTTGAAAGTTTGTGGTGAGTAAAAATTGCGATATTCGTTACGTGATAAAAATCTTATAAAAGAATGGATGTAGCAGGTTGAATTAAGCTTACATAACGCTCGGCGCAACTGAAATTAGAATAATTCTGAGAATCGAATCGGTCACTTGCATGCCGCAGTTTCTTAAGCGTATGCTTTACAATGAATTAAAGCTATCAGTAAGGTTTCAAGATTCCTCTAGTCACGTTTGGGAACATTCAAGATTCATAATAGGAACTGTTATTAAACAAACCTTAGTACATAAAGAAGCCCTCCTTAGTAAAAACAAAATAATGTATTCAGCCCTTTTTTAGTAAAATCCATGAGAGAGATGTACTAACTCCAATATAAAAGTCACTCAATATAACAGAGATTTCTCAATTTGAGAATCCAATGAATGCCCTTTTCCTCATAGCAATCTTAAAAGCCTGGTCTGAGCTTTAAATATACATATTTTAATATATTATTTTTTTTCAAATTCAGATGTCAAGGAATCCAGATACAAAATGGTCAAGGTTCTTGTAGACAACCTCATTCAAGGCCAACTCATTGTGAGCCCAGGAAAAAAAATACAAACAGTACAAACAGCAGCTAAGTTTGCAGTTTAGGATAACTTCACTCTAATTTATTGTTACATTTACAACAAGATTTTAATCAAAAAATCAATAAAATTATTTTATTTGTCTGTAATTAGCCCCTTCACTCCCAAGAGTGCTTGGTTTTCAAATATAACTTAAGATATTGTATTTTATGGGAAAGAATCAACAGATTTTATTCACAATTTGTGTCAAACCAAATTTAATGATTGATTAGAACCATTTTATATGAATAGCTGTAATTGAGGATTAATCCGTATGAAGTTTTCAAGAAAAGAAAAAATAAATCAAATTCCATCCTAATATTACCACACATTGATGTTAATAATTAATCAAAAATATTTTACATGTAAGCCTTAATTAAGCTTCTTAATAAATTTCATTGAATACTTGAATTTTAGCTGGGTTTTTTTAATTTAAAGTATTTATTTTATATCATTAGCCTCAAATTTTTGCTTAAAATTCCCAGTAATTCTTAAACATTCCTAAAAATTCCCAGAAATTCCTAGGAATTTTTTAGATTTACAGCTTTTCAGGGAAAGTCATTGGTTCTCTGAGTTGGAATTCCTAGGAATTCCAAGTCCTGTTGGCTATAAACTTGGAATTTCTGGGAATTTCTGGGAATTTCTGGGAATTTCTGGGAATTTCTGGGAATTTCTAGGAATTTCTAGGTTTTTAGAACCAGAGTTGTTATGGTTGGGAATTCCTAGGAATTCCTAGGAATTCCCAGTCCGAATTTACCGTGAAAATTCACACCTTTATTCCGAGGAATTCCAAAAGCCATTTCGCAAGGGTAGCTCAAAAACTAGTTTATCTTACCTTGTGTCCCGATATTTTCATTGTTTAAGTTCAAATTTTTTAAGGAAATGTCTCGATTTTGATTGAAAACAGATCAGCTTTTTGGGTCCATAAAATTACCGGAGCTCTCGAGGAAAAGGGGCTCAAGGCGACACCAGACTAGTGTCGTATTTATCGAACACCTAGTCTTAAAAACCAGCTTGAACTTTCTCATCATATAGGAATGTACAGCGGTTCGCGCTTCATATTCGAAGCCACTGGCCGAATCTTTGCATAACGCCCTTAAAGAAGTTTACCAAGACAAGGCAAAGGATCAGATCAAAATCATTGACGCTGGAGCCGGAACAGGGCTGATTGGAGTTGAGCTCAAGAAACTCGGATACACCAACCTATGTGCTTTGGAGATCACAGCTGAGATGTTAAAGGAAGCAAAAGAGAAAGAGGTCTATAGTGAGTTCATCTGCACGTCTTTGAACGGGCAGCTGATAGCTCACATTAAATCAGGGCAATTCGATGCTTTGATTTGTGGTGGGGCGCTCCTTACAGGACGTATCGGCTCATCTGCTTTCGTGGAGATGATAAGAATGGTTCAAACTGGTAGGTCTTTCGTAGGAGTTTACCGTGGCACAAATATAATTGACCCACGGATGTCCGCGGGGAGTCTGTTCTGTGGCTAAATGATGGACTTGACACAAAAACAATCATTTGGTAGCGGTTCCAAAGCATCTGTGGTTGAATAAATTTGCTCACAATGTTTTGAATCTTTCAAACGCTTTTAAAAAAACAACTACAACAAAAACGGACACCAGCCTTTAAGCATCATACTTTGATAAACCTTTGAGGATATAATAATATTTTTTAACAAAAATGAAAAAAAAGATGATTTTACATTGAGGACATATCAAGATTGTAAAAAAGGAAAAACGTGTAAAATCCTCTGGCAAGTTTTTTGCTTGGTTATTTTTGTGTTTTTGAAAACTCAAACCGTAATGAAGACTCACGTAACACCCTTCTTGACAAATTCCCTTAACATTTGGCATCTGACCCTTAAATCTTTTTCTGGGGTCAAATCTTTTCTCTGCAAATTCGCTCAATGAATTTCTAGATACATCGAGAGTACGCTTGGGGTTACAGGTTACAGGTTAACCTTTTAACTCCCATGAGTGACCAAGACAGAATTTCTCCTTACAATATCAATATGACATCAAGCAGACAAGTAATGGGAAAACAAAAGATGTCAATGAGGGTGTCATTGAAAATTTGGCTTGATTCCAAGCTAACTGCTGTAAAAATAGAAAAGTACCCGTGAAATATTGAAATTTTACTCTACGAAAGTCAAGTTACCACTCACATTTAGGAATATTCTTAGCAGATCCGTTTCCTTCTGAATTAAGGGATTCCAGCTATGCAGATGCAGCGGTCTTATAAATGAAAGAAGTCTCATACAAATGCAGAATTGATATTTGTGTCGTGTTTATAAAACGTTGGATACACGAGGACACTTAACCTGTTTTGAACAGTAAATTTCGAAGGCTTGAAAGAAATCAACGCTCTCCAAAACGGTTTACGGTCAAGTCGCCCGAAAGTCATCTCGTCCGAAGTCATGTCGCCCGAAACCATAGTCATGTTGCCCGAAATTCATAGTCATGTCGCCCGAAATCCTAAGTCATGTCGCCCGAAATTTTATCGAGTGTTTAATCTTGTAGAGAAGTAACGTCTTAATTATTAAATATTAAATTCCTTGCGATTGTCACTTCTCTTCAAGGTTAGGATGCTTAAGTAACTGAAACTTAATTTCAATTAAGAACCACCTTGTTTACATCAACTCAAATTTTCAGTTACCTGCAAATTGAGAAATATCGAAGCCAAATTTTCCGGACTTAAAATCCATCCAGACTGCATTGACAAGAATAACTCCCGAAAAGGGAGACCGAAAGATACAATTTTGACTGCTCATACATTTTGAAATTTCTGATTAGTTGATATTTTTGTCATTTATTATGTTCGGGTGATCTTGACGTGGGAAAAAACCGCGTATCTGTAGATTTCAGATACACTCTATGGACTAACAATTATTATTAAAATTGCGTGATTTTTTCACAAACTATATATCAAATTGTTCTATACGCTCGAGACCTTCCATCCGTTAAGTTGTTTTTGAAATGTTACTTTAAAAACCTTTGGTTCCAACTACCGCAGAATGTACCGTGAACCGATGAAATGACGCGCGTGATTAGTGTCAGTACAGGCATAAGTTTGGCCCATCATATCTCTAAAGCAAACACGGTTACCTTTTTTTTTGGTATTTTTCGAGACAGATATTGGTAGGGAACATGTAAGGAACGTTTTAGAAAAAATTGTTCTGTGATCCTTTTTCTCTGAGGAATCACCTTCAAGTGCCTATGACACGGAGTTTTTGAAATTACGACCGATAGCGATGTATACTTACCTTCAGCAAGCTCTACAAGTTAATCAAGTTCATCTCAAAGAGGGATTTTAATAGAGAGAAACTTCTTTAGTTTAAGTGCAGCATTGCTATATGGCCCATTTCACCCAATGGGTAAATGAATATTTCATACGCATCGACTTTCACACAGCACTTGGACCCGCTACTATCCAATTCAATAAAACTTGTGTTTCTTTATTTACCTCACTGCAGTGTTGTTATCACAATGACATTGCCACTGTTGCTACTTTTAGTTTCTTAAGAGCAGGGAGAAGTTATGGCTCGAATTTATGGGATTGATTTTCGGAAACCTAGGTTAGGAGAATGCACAGCCGCTTCGAGCTTGTGTTTATGTCAGCATCCGCCAGAGGTTTCACACTGTTCACGCAACAGGATATCGGCCAGTTCAGGAAAAGGCTTGAACTTTATTACAAATGATGTAGTTCTGTTACTAAAATACGATGGAAACAAGAATTGGTTCTATTTTCATACGATAAGAAAAGCGCAAATGTAGTCATGTGGAAAGAAAAGGAATGTTAGTACATCTCTAGCGCGTGAAATAGACAAGAATAAGGAGCTCGCCATTCTTCGCTTGCGAAATGCCAGCCGAGAAGAATGTTGAACGATCGTGTTCGGTGTGGGAACCGAGACCCCTTAATTGGCATTATTTTTAGCTGAATTCATTGGTTATCTTCCCCTGATTTGACTAGTGGTATGTGTTAGTAAGAGCCGTCTTCGAAGCCGGTACGGAGCATAAGGCCGATGACTTTGAAGAGTAAAATCTCCTCGATGACAACGATCAAACGTATCCATTTTGGCCATACAGCTACATCCTTTAGAAAGTAGTGTATAGAAATACTCGGTATATGTGTATTATTCTTGTAGCTAGCATCATTTGGTGCTCCGGCCACGCTATACGTTCGTCCTTTCCTCTGAATTTCTCCTCTCTCCACTATAGTTGCCGACGTGTCTTTGCAGTTTCCCACGTCACAGCTATGTAATACGATCGTTTTGGCCGCGCGCTTTAGGGGTACACTTTTTGGCCACCAAATCGTACTTTCAATGCACAAAAAAGTGAACAAGGAGAACTCGCCAGGCGCTAAAGTCGATTAATTTTAATTTTGAATACCGCTATCAACCAGAAAATCCAAAAAAAAATTCGTGTCATAGACACTTTAAGTATCTCTTTTTATAAGTTCCCCTCTGGTTCAGTTCTTTGACAGACAGCCAATCCACAACAAAAACTCTCGGACTAGAACTATACATGAGTGTCAAAATAGATCTTGAAAGGGGGGGGATTTTGCGATCCCTTGAGCTTTTAAACTGGATATTTATTGCAGAAGAGGTTTGAACTGTTGTTAGGTCGTCCAATTTCAAAGCTCAACCTCCGGATTATTAAGCGAAAAAACTCCCTTGTAAATATTTTATCATCTAGGTATGCTGGTTGAAATAGTTTTCTCTTCGTTTAAGCCTAACCGGTTTTGAACTCGTACTAGTTAATTACTTGTACAGCTCTATGAACAGGAGCCAAATTTTCCATGAACAAGGACAGTGCTGTATTCTGGAACAGTTATTTACGTGTACATGTATTTAGAACCACTAAGTCAGTTGTTTACTTTATCTATGTAAAAGATATGTCTTCAACTTCTGAGCTCGATATCTTAGCTCTTGCTTTTCTTCCATACATTTGGCTAAACTTGCTAAGTTAAACGCTCTTATCAGAAAGCTCCAAAATGACAGTTTATTGTACAAGAATGGTAAGATATGATTCCTTAATTGTTAATTATGAACAGGATCATGAAATTCAACACCAACCCGTTGGCTCAAACTCCGCTAAGAAGAACTATTGTTCGTTTCCCTTAGGAGTTAATGTTAGCGGTGTGCTACTGTATACATGAATGACGGAATCCCACGAGCAAGCGTTCGAGTTATCAGAACTGGGCTTTACTTCCAGTTTTTCAAGCTTTCTCTGCAAATGTTTAAACGATGCCCTGGATAACCTTGGAAGTCTGACGAGGACAAGCATTTAAACGATACTTGACATAAGGGCGTAACAAGTGGCAGCTCTGTTATTTACAGTTCCTTCTAGATTCCTTGATCTGACTAATTCATGTACACTCTGACACAGAGTCTGTCACGTGACCGGTTAATATAAAAGCCACCTGAAGATTATCGTTATGAAGGTTATTCAAGGTCTCTTCACTTCAGGGAACGCCACACTCTTAACTGACAAATTCCAAACGAAATTTTGTCTTTGATGGTGTGTACAGTGGCGGCAGTGGTGTTCCTACTTGCACTTGAGTCATATTTCATTGTAATAACAAACGCTGCGACAAAAATGCGTGCCTACAGTACCATCCACCCCAAATTGTCAGGCCAACGAACCTGATGTCAATCATTCATGACCAAATATAGACATAACATGACATTAGTCAACCCACTCAGTGCAGTACTAGTGAAACAAAGATTTTGATTGATTTACTGACCGCGTGGGTCTGTAGCTGCTCGCTTGTATACATTTCTGTGCACTCATAAACGGATTCAAGACCATTACTCCACAAGATCGCCCCACCTTCGAGGTGGCCTTCTGGTATCGCCCTCACGGGTTCATCTCCTACGATAAGATTGTCAACACTCATGTTACTTGCCAAGATGAAGACGAGCATTGGAAGTTTGTGCGAAGCATGTTCGATTTCGATGATTAGGCCGACACAGTTCCAATTAACGCAGGCAACCTTTTTGTCACCTTCGATGCAGTCCAACGTCTCATGAACACAATGGCATTGGATTGGAACCGAGATATTTCCTACCCGAAGAGGTTCTAGGCCTTTGTATACACCATGAAGAGCGACTCGGACCCCAAAGCAGTCATCAACAACGGATTATGTAATAAGCTCAGTTATGCACGCATTCTGATTGGTTCTCACTTATGATCTATTGGAGGACAGACGCATAGATGACGTCATCATTAAAACTTTTGCTCTCTGTTATTCTAAAATGGCGGAAAGTTTTGAAAATTTAGACGATATTTTAGCTGACTGGGTGAACGAAGATTTCGAAAAAAGTCTTGTCGAGGCTGTGGAAAGTTATGATAATCAGGAGAAAGAAAGAAAATCACGTTTCTCTGTCGAAAACGACTTGACAAAACTACTTGAGTAGTCGCAGTCGAACGCGACTTAAAGAAACACA